CAAGTGGAAAATCATTAAATTTAGATTAATTGAAACCTATGATATAATGTTGTTTCTGCTTGTATTAACTTTGAAAGATTCTTTGTTCAGTGTTTGTGTTTGCTGTCGTTTCAGTGTCTGAGCTCAGAGCTGTCCTGCTGGGGAACAGCTGGTCTGAGAGGAGCTCAGTGGGAAACTTTATACTGGGAGAGAACAAGTTCAACCCTGAGGAAGAACTGGACCGATGTGTGAGAGTCAGTGGACACATTCAAGGGAAAGAAATATTTCTCATCAATACTCCAGATCTGCTTCATCCAAACATCTCTGAGGACAAATTAAAGGAACATGTGAACAACTGTGTGAGGCTCTCTGATCCTGGACCTCATGTGTTCCTGTTGGTTCTACAGCCTGAAGACTTCAAAGAGCATCAAAAAACGAGACTCTGCAGAGTCCTGAACTCCTTCAGTGATCATTCCTTTGATCATTCACTGGTTCTGATATCACCACCCAGAGAGAGGCGTCAAGGTTCAGGGCATCGTGTCATGTATCATACACCTATACAGGAAATGATCAGACGATGTAAAATCAAGTCACTGCAGCTTGTAAACCTCAACATGCAGGAGTTACTAGAAAACATGGAACGCATTGTAGAAATGAACAATGGAAGACATGTGACCTGTCAGCACACCAGCGCTGAACAAAGAAAAGAAGCTCCTGTTACTCTGAATGATCCTCAGCCTGTTGGTAAGTAAAAACCCCAAACTCTATCTGTAGATATTTTAACATAAAGACACTTTCTAAAGTGCTCAGAAGGAACGATCCACCAAGAACATGAAGCAGCATTTACTGAAGATGGAAAAAGTGAAGAAAGACCAAAAGGCTTTTAGGATCAGTCAGACTGTCTGAGAGTAATTTCCTGTTTGTATCTTTGCTCCTTTACAGGACGTAGACTCTGCATGTTGCTGTTTGGAGGAAACTCAGCAAAGAAGACAGCACTCTGTAACTTTATTGTGAAGAAAAAAACTTACTATTATTCAAGTTTCATTCAAAACAAGCAAGTTGTCCAAGGAGAGTGGAGAGGAAAACAATTAACAGTAGTGAAAACTCCCGACTTCTTAAGTCTGACACTTAAAAAGGCGAGCGAAGTGATGAAGAGCTGTGTGAGTCTCTGTCCTCCTGAACCAAATGTTCTGCTGCTGATGGTGAAACCTTCTGATTTCACTGAAAAGAAGAGAAAAATTCTTAAATTCATCCTGAGTTTTCTTGGTGAGGATGCCTTTAAACACTCCATGGCAATCATCACAGATAAAGAGGAGACAAATTATTCTGTTACATCACTCCTCAGAGATTGTGAAGGTAGAGACTACAACATGATTGAAAATAATCGGGAACAGTTAATGGAGAAGATTGAGAACATGCAGATTGTCCTCAAAGGAAAATTCCTCACAGTCACTGAAGAGACCATAAAATCAGTGTCTGAGCACAAGAAACAAAATTTAAACCTGGTTCTGTGTGGGAGGAGAGGAGCAGTGAAGACGTCAGCAGCCAAGGCCATTTTAGGTCAGACTGAGCTTCATTCAGCCTCCAACTCATCAGAGTGTGTTAAACATCAGGGAGAGGTGTGTGGACGTTGGGTTTCCCTGGTGGAGCTGCCTGCCTTGTATGGAAAACCTCAGGAGGCAGTGATGGAGGAATCATTCAGGTGTATCTCCCTCTGTGATCCTGAGGGTGTCCATGCCTTCATCCTGGTCCTACCTGTGGCTCCCCTCACGGATGAAGACAAGGGAGAGTTAGAGACCATCCAGGACACATTCAGCTCTCGAGTCAATGACTTCACCATGATTCTGTTCACTGTGGACTCAGATCCTACAGATCCAACTGTTGATAACTTTGTTAAGGAAGACAAGGACATCCAGAAGCTCCTTCAGACTTTCAGACAAAGACATGTGGTTCTCAATATCAAGGCTAAACAGCAGAGGGATAGTTTGGAGACCATGCTTCAGACTGTGGATATAATGAGCCTGTCTGAAAAGAGCATGTGCAAACCACACTGTTATACAGCTATAACCTTGCTACATGCACAAATAGAGAAAGTCTTACAAAAAGAGAAAATCATTAAGACGCAACAAGATGAAGCTAAGAAATTGAAGATGAACATGATCACAGGTAAGCACAAATATTTTTCTTAGTCTGATGTCCTACAGTCTTGATATAACAACCTACAATAATGAATATAAAACTTTATGTTTATGTTTTAGGTGGTGAACAGAACTCAGACTGTCTCAGGATTGTGCTGATTGGGAAGACTGGCTGTGGAAAGAGCTCTACAGGAAACACCATTTTAGGAAGAGATGAGTTTACAGCTGCATCAAGTCAAATATCAGTTACACAACAATGTCAGAAATTACACGGTGAGGTGGACGGTCTTCCTGTTGTTGTGGTCGACACTCCTGGTCTGTTTGACACAAGTTTGTCCAATGAAGAAATTCAAGAGGAGATGATGAAATGTGTCAGTCTTCTGGCTCCAGGACCACATGTCTTCTTGGTGGTGATACAGGTCGGCAGATTCACAGAAGAGGAGAAGGAGACACTGAAGCTCATCAAGAAATTCTTTAGGAAGGATTCAGAAAAGTTCACCTTTGTTCTTTTAACCAGAGGAGATGAACTGGAGCGTCAGGGAGAGTCTGTTGATGATTACATCAAGAACAAATGTCACAGTTCCTTTAAGAAGCTGATCTCTGACTGTGGAGGAAGATACCATGTGTTCAATAACTCTGAGAAACAAAACCGCACACAAGTCAGTGAGCTGATAGCAAAGATTGACACGATGGTGAAGGACAATGGAGGAAGCTTCTACACCAATCAGATGCTGCAAGAGGCTGAAGCAGCGATACAGATGAAAATGGAGAGCATTCTAAAGAAGAAGGAAGAAGAGATTCAGAGAAAATACAATCAAGATATGGAAACCATTAAGCAAACCATGGAAAAAGAGAGGAAACAAATGGAACAGGAGAGACAAGAAAAAGCCAAAGAACTCCAGGAAATGGAGGAGAAAATTAGGTTCGAACAAGAGAGAAGAAGAAAAGAAGAACAAATTAGAAATGAAGAAGAAATCAATAAGAAAAAGGAAGTAGAAATATATCGAGAGAATTTTAACAAACAGATTGAAATTGTGGATAAACAAATTCAGTCAGAAAAAGAGGAAAAGAAAAATGTCGACAGAAAGCTGGAAGAAAGCAGAGAACAGCTGAGAAAACAACAAGAAGAGTGGGAGAAAGAACAGAAAGAATGGTGGGAGAAACAACGACAAGAAGAAGAGACGAGACGAGAGGAAGAGCAAAAAATCAAAGAGCTTGAAGAAAAGTAC